TCTCCCTGCTATCCTCACAACCACTGCTCCTCCTACCAAGTTCCCATTCCACTTTCAAGTCTTTATTTGGTTGTTGTTTCTGCCTTGTGACACGTTAGGTTTCATCAGGGCTGAAGGCATGAGCATGGGTGTGAAACTATCTACTGGAGCATGGGTAGCTTACCAACAGCTATGTCATCAAAGACAATGACTGTCTCTCCCTCAGGAACCCTCAGTGCTGCCCTGGATAAGGCTGGGTCCCAGAAGCCCTTCACACCCATCATTTGAGTGTGGATGGGATCAGTTTCTTCAAGACTCAATACAGCTACTGTGAGCTTATGAGGGCCTTGGCCATGTCAACCTCATACCATGGCTTTCTCTCTTCTTCCATGATGTTTTCTGAACCTTGGGAAGGGTAATATGAGTGGTCCAAAGTGAATTAATTTTAACATGTTTACTAATTCGAACCGTTTATATTTTTCTTGTGATTATTGTCCATTTGACAGCTATCACAGAATTCCTTTAAATTTTTAATGGCACTTATTATCATCATAATTTATTTCTATTTATTTATTTAAAACATGGAACAATCCAGGGGAACAGCATACCATTCCCACACAGGAGCCATATTAATCTTTCCGGCATTTTTCCAATTTTTAAATCTGAGCAAAGAAAATTTTGTTGTATTCACTGCATTGAAAAATAAATATGTAGCTGGTTTCCCAATATCTTATCCTCTAAAACACAGACAATCAAAAATGTCGTCTGTCTGAGTGACTCAAAATGATCACCTGGTCCACCCCACTCCCTGGAAGATTATGCAGATTCGGTAACTACTTGTTAAAATGTTGGATACTTAGAATTGCAGGTGGGATCACTGTTTTTAGTGAACTTGGAGAATATTAGAAAAGACAGTGGTAGGCGGGCAGTGGTGGTGCTTGCCTTTAATCCCAGCACTCGGAAGGCAGAGGCAGGTGGATCTCTGTGAGTTCGAGGCCAGCCTGGTCTACAGAGCTGATTCCAGGACAGCCTCCAAAACAAAACCCTGTCTCGAAAAAACAACAACAACAAAAAAAAAAAAAAGAAAAAAAAAGAAAAGACAGTGGTGCCAGAAGACAGATTGAGTTATTCTGAAAATGGAAAAATCAGATTTTATAAATTATCACTTATGAATTTTGGGAAAATCCCAAGAAAGATGCTAACATATAACATATAACATGTTACAAAACTAGTGATAGACTTCTGAGATAGTATGACCAAGCACAGATCATATTAGACCAGGAAGCTAGCATTTTCATAACATTACTATGTAAGCCTCCACTAGAAAGATCAGAGAGATAATGAGCCTGGGCTTCAGGAGAGTCCTGGCTGACATGAATTGTGTGATAGTTTTGGAATAATTATCTATTTGTTTTTTCTGTATATAAAATTTTGAAAATTTTGCAAGCTAACTAATCTTGAGCATAGTAATTAGTAATTGTTTTTTAAATTAGTATTCAAATGTTATGTATATTCAGGGTTTAGGGTGCTATATTATCTTCATCTGTTTTGTGCTACTGTGAGAGAATGTCAGACACTACGGAATTTGTAAAGCCCAGGGATTTACTTCTAATAATTCTTATTGTTATTTCTTCAGGGTAGTAGCTGGTGAGACCTTGTTACTATGTTGTCAAATGGTTGGCAGTATGTGAGACAGAGCACGCTAGAGTAACATATATTTGGGCATTTTGTATTAGCCTCTATTAACTGCACAAAATAATAGGTTTCATTACAATATTTTCATACAGGTATATCCCCTCATATTCAGGGGGGCATTATCCTCCAGTTTCACCCTTATAATAAACCTGCTTCATATTTGTGAAGGCAGAACCTCTCATGACCTGACCATTGCACAGAAGAGCCACCTCTCAATATGATGCTATAGGGTTGACTTTTGAATACCTGACTCTCAGGGGGCAAGTTAAGTGATGGGGAGAATTGTAGTCATATAAGTATGAATGGGGAGGGTGAGGTTGGACAAAATTCAATCAGGGCCCATGCTGGCATAGGGGAGCAGCAAATCATGAGATGTGTCAGGTGACACGAGGCTGCAGAGCTTTAATCTAGTGCTTGTTCCTGTTTCACATTTTAACTCTGTAGGGACTTCCCATCCTTTGATGTGAGGCTTGGATGGCCTTGTGCTTATGTACATCCTTCTGCCCTATCTTTCTATGTGCTGTGATCACAGGGGCGTGTCATTACGCCGGACATCTACTCCAATGTTTTAAGCAAACAAAGCTCAGATTTGTTATTTTAGAACCACAGCATTGCTTTGAGAGGTGCAGAAACATGCACCCGTCTTCCCACCCTAAGAAGTCTGAGTTGGAAGGGTCCCTTCTGCCCAAGAAATTAGGACCAGCCTAGGAATACAGTAACTCCCTCTCATTGTGTGTGTGTGCACCAGCGAGTGTGTGCATGTATGCGTGATGTTCAAATCAGAGGATTTGGGACAGTCGAAGCTCCATTAGAAGGGCAAATGTAGAGATGATGAGACCCATAACCGAAGAAGAGGTTGTGGGGTTCAAGAGAAGGAACTAAGAAATGAGAGATACTGTTAAAGTTGCTTTGATGGAGGTAAAAAAAATTGAAAGAGTGAAAAATATGTGATAGTTTGTGGTTTAAGTCCATTGCCTTAACAGAGTATGGGAACAGATAATGCCATTGCTATCTGCCCAACTAGACATAAGAATTCACATGCCTAGTCAAGGGAAACTTAACATGGTAATTTAAAATGGTCTTTATTTTGTTTTTAAGTGGATCAGTGCTTTGAGATTAGGTGGTACTTCAGTCTTTGATCAATGGAGATAAGGACAAAATATTTATGATTTTTTTCATTGTCATGTTTACGTTGCCAAGGAAATGCCACTGTGTTAGTTAGCCTCCTGCTAGTGTAACAATACCTGAAACAAATCAACTGACAAGGAGAGAGAGGTTACTCTGGTTCACAGTTGTGGAGCTCATAACTCATTAGCCTCCCTGCTCTTATGCTCCTGGTAAGGGACACAATCATGGTGGAGAGCAATTGGTGAAACAAAAAGCCAGTAGCTTGTAGAGTCATATTATCTCCTTCAAGGGAACAATTCCAGTGACTTAAGATCCTCTCCCCATGTGGCTCCATTTCCCACAGTCTCTACTGTGGTGCATGAACTGCAGATTGAGCCATAACTCGTGGACTTCAGGAGACATCTAAGTTTCTTGCTACAGTCTCACTAGAACAAACTTCCCTGTTTTGAATAAAGTTATAGAACCACAGGAATACCACGAAGGTAATGCAGAAAGTTCCCAGGCAATGTAATCTCCCTCTTCCTTTTACCTGGTGATGATGAGTTCAGGGTGAAGAATGGCAGTCTCCACAAGGGTAATTTCATCTCTGTTCCTAGAGATGGAATCCCAGAGTGGGGGACTCAGGTCAGGTATTTAACACTATTTTACATCTGGGAGATTACCCTGGTATTAAGGGATTATTGTTCCCTGGTTTGGCTGTGTGGAGGGAATTTTGTGTGACCTGATTCAAACAGTGAAAAAGCTTGGTGACAGACAGGGAGAGGGAAGGAAGAGAGGCCTGGCCAAGAGACAACTGTGTGACTGTCAGCACACTGGGCCCTGGGACCCACTTTTAGGCATTTCTTTCCTGTGCTGTATTCTACATAGTTACATAGTTATCAAACCTTGGTATAGTTAGTTTTAAGGATTTATGCTCACTTTGTATGGAGACTAAAATGAGAGCCCCAGTTCCTGCTTTGGAAGAGGTAGTCTGGGGTGAACTGGAGAGACTGGAGGCTGAGGAACCAGTTTGGCCACATCTAGTGACAAATGAGTTGAGTGGGTTTGTAGTACTTCAGGGCTTGTGGGGTTTCTTGGGAAAGGGATTAGTTTCCCCTGGCCTTTCATTGTGTGTGAAATAGAAGTATAAACTCATGATCTGAAGAACACAGGAATACTCAGGATGCATGTTTTGTCCAAGCTTCCTCTTACTAACACACAAGATGGGGGTGGGGGGTGTAGGGGTAGGGGGCATGCCTCTTTCAAATGCCTAAGAACATAGGTCTTGAATTTTGGAATCTTTGTATTTTCACAATGAAATTAGGGATAAACTCTAAGACTAAACACAGCATTCCTTTGTTTTGTATGCCTCAGAAGGTAATTCTAGACATATGCATATTACTTATTTTACATGTGAGCCACAGTTTCACGGTTTGGAATTTTGGACTAGTGCCATTATACCAGTGCTCAAAAAGTGTTAGATTTTGGACTTGGGGATTCAGGATGTTGAATCCATATTACAAGAAAAAGCACTAAATATAGCCTTCACCTTCTACTTCAATGTACATCTTTATTTGTGGTTGAAAATAAGTCTATTACATCTAACTTGTAAACTTATTCAGAATCAATGTGTTCAGAGGGACATAAAATGTATTTTCTACTAAATCACATGTTCTGGTGACTGTAGAATATAATATACAGGTATATGCACAAAGGTTTAAAAACTAATTGTGAAAACAAGACCCATTACCAGTATGTATAAGGAAGAAAAGACTCGTTTTCCCACAGGCTACCACTGTTATATAGGACAGTTCTTCATGGGGTTCAGTTATTTTCCTTTAGTTCACTTGGTAGCTCCAGATGTGATAGAAAAGACACTAGTATATGGTGAAGTCACTTCACAGTGTTACATGATGGTAGAAACTCAAGGTGTTTGAGAGACACCTTGGTCAGCAAGCAATCTGAGAACTCTGAAATACTGATTAAACAACAACAACAAATATTTCTGCTGGTAAAACTGTTGATGGTTGAAAAGCAACTAGAAGTAGACATAGGAGCTGTGACCTGTCATTTTACCAGCAGACATCGAGTAGAAGGCTCTGGGCACTTCCATTCCTTTCCAGAAGATGGCAGAGTTGGTGTAACAAAGGAGAGAACAGACTCATTGTTGGTCACGGCGACAAAAGAAGGCTTAGTCATTCTTGCCTTTTTAATATTGCTATCTGCATTCAACAACAATAGAGCTAACAGTACCTCATTTGTCAGAAGTAACAGCAGAAGAACAGCTATGTGTGAACCCCCACATACACCAGGGTTCCCCAAGACCCTCTCTGACCGCTGCTTTTGTTCCTTAGATCGTTTTCTCACACATAGTTGTCTCTACTGGGTTTCTTTGATGCCCATTCACACCATGTCCTGCAGTGGCACTCCCAGATCACCACAGAGGTAACTAGAGGGTATCTGTGTGTGGCTGAGGTAAGAATAATTGTTTGGCCTGGCAGCGGCTGCAGAATAGCCTACTTTAATGATGACCCAGGAGTGTGATGGATGGCCTTTGGCTTGTGTGATGTGAGCAAACCTGAGGTTTTCTTTTTATCTGTTCCTAGGGTCCCAAGGGACAGGGCACCTATTTTCAAATGTGGCACACACATGTTCAGACGTACAGGTTTCTCAGACCTCACAGAGTGAACACGAGGTGTCTCAGAGGCTGAGCTCTGTGAAGGAAGAAGTCGGACAAAAGTTATGTGGATTTTTATAATAAACTTTTCAAGGAAAATGTGGACCTATGATTTGTTTTCATTGCTCCCCCTTGGGCTGGGGGGTGGGTAGCTGTTCTTTCATAAGTGGATTCTTACCAAGTGTTTGTTGAAAGAATGCCAAGGCCTCAAAGGAAGACTGCATTTGGGCTGACCATCTTTGATCATCAGAGCTTAGAATCTGTGGGAGGGGACGTTCTCCATACCTCCTGGCAGGACCCAGAGAGTCTACAGTGCTTTGCAGATCAATATAGCTCCTTGTGATTAGACTCGCCATGCTCAGATTCTGTGCTGCTAGTTTGCTTAATTTCTGTAGCACCCGAACAAAGCCTCCTCACTCATGTGAGGTGCTCTGCAGGAGAGCTTTGAAGGAATGGCAGTAGCCACAGCTTGCCACCACAGCTCACAGGATGTGGCTTGAAGGAGTTCATGGATTCTTGTATCCCTCAGTATATGCTGTTGGATTGATGAGTGTCCTAAGTATGGCAGTAACCTGCAATAACATTTCCCCATCAGTAGCAGTCCCTGGGTGATCGGCTTCGTACAACAGAGGGCAAATCTGAATAATCCAGGAGTGAGGAGTACACCTCAGTGAACAGCTGTCAATGGATTTTCCTTTACCAGTTACTGATAGACTAAAAAATGGGACAGGAAGCAAGGTTGTTTTAGTGAATGTGAGCCAGAACTCTAGAACTGCAGGGAGAGAGTATGCCAAACGAATGGGCATGCTTCGTAGAACGGTCTCCTTTTCTGTGGAATACCCCAGGAGTTTTAGAAGTCTGTGTCTGAGAAAGCTGGCTGCAGCAGCAAAAGAGACAATTTGGTAACTACCAGGTAAAGGAAAATTTATCACAGGGGATAATCCTCAGGAATTAGTATTGGGAACTTAAATCTTGAAAATCAAATTTCCCTGCACCCCAGATATTTTCTTATCATACTGTGGCTAGTATGTGGGCCATGTGTGGGAGATGTCTGGAGTGTTCTTTATCTAAGTGTCTTTAGCTTAGTAATTTTCAGAGAGGACTCTGACCAAGTAAAATTTACATTAACCTAACTGCATCAGAGGATGCTTATAACCCTGGGGCCACCACATGCTCTGGGCATATCATCTTTCTAACAGCAATACAATGTTCAAGAAGCATAGGCAACGAGGGTAGGTCTGTGGAGGCAGTAGCCCAAAGCAGTACATCTTACTCAGATGAAAGCAATAGTGATTGTGACTGTAAGAGGGGTGAAGAGGACCATCCTGTGAAAAGAATACTCATTCTTCGTTCACACAGTCATGCTTTTAACTGACATCTGGGTTTGTCATAATAGGAATGAAACACTATTCTGTGAAGCTCTGCACTATTGCCTGTAGACTCTGTTACAGCAATTCTTACCTCAAGGGTTTTTTTCCCTGTGTTCTTTCAGAGGCCGTGTTTCAAACAGTTGCCAGTATTTTTGCAGATTTTAGGCAGTAACTACTTTTAATGTTTTCTACTCCTAATCTGTCATGTGCTTGACAGTTATTTTATTGAGATGAATCTGAGTTGTGATTTAATTAAGAGTAATAAGTACTAGGTTGGAGAGCTTCCTTTTGAAGAGAACTCAAGAGTTCTAGAATGTGGTATATAAAGAAAAAACCTACTGGGAGCAGCAGAGACCTTTTTGTCCATCTTTTGCTTCTTGGCTCTGCAGTTTGTGCAGGAGGTTGCTAGGCAGTGGGGCTCTCATCATGCATAAGAAGTCTCAAAAAACCTACAAAGTCAGAAATTTCTCATTGTTTCCAGCCCTGGAGTTCTCAGTGGGAATTTAACCTACAAGTTTGTAGGAGAGGATGAGAAACTGCTTCGTTGTTCTGTGTCAGGCTTTTTTTTTCTCTAGGAACTGATGTAGGTATTAATTCTAATTCTCTTCATTTCAGAGTTTCCCCTGAGGATCTGAAAGTGTTTTGAAGTGTTCACACCCACGTTTCCCTTGAGTTTTATGAAATGAAAAAAAAGTAACGTTTATATCTTTAAAAGAAAACTAGGCATGTTTTTATTACAATTATTACCGATGCTAGTAGTACTCTGGTCTTGTAGCAGCATCTGTCACATAGCAGCCCAGAGCTGCAGCAGAACTTTAATGAAAACTCTATTTTCTTAAAGGCTGTGTGTAATTATTATGCAGCTCCTTGGTTATGGGTATGGAAATGCAAGGTTTGCATGGAAGGAAATAAAGGAAAGCAGACTGTTACCGGTCTTGAAACAAAGGAAAGAAAAGGAAACAGGACTAGAACATCCTGAAACCGGTGCCCAAGCCTCCTACAAGCATCTAGCCAAAGCAGACCCAGTAGGTCTTGGATCACTGGGGGGCATTTGAAAGCCGTCAGAGGGACTTTAATATCTGGGTCTATTTCAGGTAGTTTGGTGTCTGTCTTCAATACCTTTCTTTGTGATACTGAGTTCTAGTCTTAAAGGTGTTTAGTGTGCAGGCTGTGCAATGTGGCACCTGCCTTTAATCCCAGCACTCAGGAGGCAGAGGCAGAGAGGTGGGTCTTTGTGAGTTCCATGCCATTCAGGGCTTGCCTTTTGCTTAGCTGGATACGAGATGCTAGAAACAAAGCAGTGTTTCTCTTTGAGCGAAGAGCTTAGGAGGGATGAAAATGTAAAGCAGGCCAGAAAGTGACTTTAAGCAATTTGTTAGCATATTCACTTCCCTAGGACCTGTTTTCCAACAGTTCAAGGTAAGATATCTGCATGCTGGCTGTTAAGACAAGGTGTGCAGGTTGTCCAGAACACATGAAATTGTGCTTAAGATACAATTGAAGAAAGCAAGTAAGGTGAGGCCAAGCTGTTCTATTTTGTGGAAAATAAACAGTGACTGGCAAGACCATGATTATGAAACCCACAAAGACAGCTGACCGGATAAGGGGGAGCTCTTGAATCCCAGACTGATGGCTGAGAGGCCAACAGGAGACTGATCCAGACTCCATGAATGTAGTGCCAGGGAGGAGGCCACAGAAATCACTGGGGCCTTGGGTAGTAGATCAGTGCTCCCCATGGTTTATGAATGAGCTTTGGGAGCCCATTCCAAATAGAGGGATGCTCTCTCAGCCTGGACACATGGGGAAGGGTCTAGGTCCTGCCCAGGATGAAATGACAGACTTTAGAGATCCCCCAAGGAGGGTCTCACCCTCCCTGGGAAATGATGTGGGGATTGGGTGGGGGGTTGGAGGAGGGACAAGGGAGCAGGGGTGGGAGAGGGAGCTGGGACTGACATGTGAAACATTCACATTTCTAATTTAAATAAAAACATATATTGAGAAAAAAAACAGTGACCGGTGATCTGGGATTTCTGATTTGTTTCCTGAGAAGACAAAATTGAAGTCAGGGAAAAACAAAACAAAAAACCAAAAGAACACAAATGTTCTCTGCCTAGCGACTCTGCTAAGAGAAAAGCAGAGACAGGTGACATAAAGCAGGCTCCAACAGCAGGTGACCTGCAACCTGAGCATCCAGGGTTGTGCAGACCTGCCCCAAATGTCACCACAGAACAGCTGACCGGAAAAGCCTGGTCAGTCGGGACCCTGCAGAAGATAGGCATGGCACGAACGCAGACGAATAGGCTAGACAGATTCACAGGTCGAATGGGACACAAGGCGGAGCCACTGTCGTGGGCGGCCTCAGCGTCCTCCTCCTCCTCAACTGGACACAAGTTTAGCTTGCAGAGATAGAACATACTCTTGTGGGGGTATGTACCTGAGTACAAGTGCCTGTAGAGGCCAAAAGAGGAAATCGTATCCTCAGGAGCTAGAAGTATAGGCAGTTATGAGCCACCCAATGTGGATGCTGTAAACTTAACGTGGATCCTTTGCAGCAAGACAAGTAGTTCACCACGCTTATCCACTCATCCGTCTCCCCAGCCCTTGTTGCTTACATTAAAGAAAAGTTATATGGCATCTTGCTGGCTGTAAACGTCCAAGCTCAAGCAACCCTCCTACCTGAGCTGCTGAGTGCTGGACTCCAGCTATCTGACACTCACGCCCAGTTCACCTAGTCATCCTTAAACTATCTGTCCTATTGGCTGGATTTGGAGACATTTTAGGCTCAGAGAGGATACGGTGCCTATTTTTCAGAGACTGAAATCACTTCCTAGACTTTTGTTGAATAAGCAGTACTTGGAACTAGCCCAGGAAGAAGATACAATAAAGTGTAAAGATAAAAAAGTTTTTCATTTTTCTCGGTTGTAAGTTTCTTAAGACTAATGTGGTTTCCAAAGAGGGGGGGAAGTGAGGAGAAAGGCAGGCCAACTTTAAAAGTTGTTTTTTTTTTCATTTTAATTCTTGTAGTGCTGGTAATTGAATGTAGGGTCTTGGGTTCAATGATAGTTACATGATCTATAACTGAAATACCTCTCCAGCTTCTCCTCCTCCTTCTCTTGGTTCTCTTCCTCCTCTTGTTCTCTGTTCCTCTTCCTCTTTCTTTTCTTCCTCTCCGTCTTTTCATTTTTTGTGCCAGATTCCCACCAAACTGCCTAGGCTGTTCTTGAGTTTGTGTTCATTCAGCCTCAGCCTCAGCCTCCCGCATAGTAGAGGATATAGGCCTGTGCCTCGATGTTTGGGTGAGCCCAAGTTTAACAGAGAAACAACATCAGTGTACAAAAGATCATATATTCTCAGATACTATACTGACCCATCTTCCTAAACACTATATGCTCTAGATCCTTATTGGATTAGATAGAATAAAATAAGAACATTTTTATCAGTTCTGAAGAGCATGTGGAACAGTCAGTCAGTGGAATATCTAACCCTGTTTGCTGCTCTTTTGTGTAGACTGAGCCCTGTATTGGACCGGTGTTTCAGGTTAGAGTCATTCCCAAGAGCAGGAAAGCCAAAATGCATTCTGCAGAATTAAGAAAACACAGGATGACCTAGTACCATACAGTGCAAGACCGAAACAGGAAAAATATCCCTTGCAGGTCAATACAGATAAGGATAAGTTCCTGTTTGCCCTGTGCAGGTTACAGTTTCAGTTTGCAGTTAAACAATAAGTTCCTATGTTGAGTGTTTGCAAGCTAAGGTTTCTGTTTGTAATTAACAATAAGTTCCTGTTTCTTAGATCTGATGTAAGTTGCCAAACATGTTTTCAACCTACACTAAACTTGTGACCCCCCCTTCACACTCACACTCCTCACCCTTCCTTGTTCCTTTCCTTCCACTGTGTTTTCTAACAGTGTCTAACTATCAAGGCTGACTCTCTTACCCCTGGGAACACCTTATCTCTCCTGTAAAAAGGACTTCAAGAGGCCAGTAGGGGCTGCTCTCTCAAATCCTGACTTAGGGTGAGACAACCAGCTGGCCAGTCCCATGTATACCCCCAAATGCAGCTTGCTTTAATCGGACAGCGGTGGATTCTGTCCTTTCTCCTCCCAGTCCTCAGATTTAACAACATTATGTTTTCTTTCTGACCATAAAGACCAGATAAAAAAGAAAGAAGTAGAAATTCTTATTTCACAGAGTTGAGGATGACATTTTTCACAATACTGGGAAGTATATGCTCAATTAAGAAACCAAGACCCCTATTTCAATAAGATTATGCTCTTGAAGTGTGTGGAAGAGACTTCTCATTCTTCTATGTGTTTACTATCTTCAGTTTTAGATGGGTATAATGGCACCTAGAATATAGGCTCCAGTGCCCAACTTTCTTTGCAGCAATGTTTTGGGTAGATCAAACTTTGACAAATGATGTCAGAAGAAATACCATACAGCCAGCTTCTGAGACTTGTCATTAAGCAAAAGGAACACCACCCTTTGTGACTTTCCCCACTCCTTGGTTAGAATTAGAAAAGCAGAGACATAAGTTTTCACAGCTGTGTTGAATGTTGTTATGATTTAAGAATGGTAGGCACAAAAGAGTCAAGGAGAGGCCAAGATCTCTAGGAAGCCCACATGCTGATCTCTGCTGATTCTCTCTGGAATTTTAGAATATGAAGAGGAATAGGCCACCATGGTAGTTGAGCCATTAACTTTCTGTTGTTAGTGTTGTTGATAGTAATGGCCATTGATGGGTCAATGTGGTTCTCTATAAAAGTTCTATGAGGAAAGCCACCTAGGTTACCAATTTCTTCAGATTAGTTCCTTTTTTTTGGGGGGGGGGACAGGGTTTCTCTGTATTGTTTTGGAGCTTGTCCTGGAATTCGCTCTGTAGACCAGGCTGGTCTCAAACTCACAGAGATCCTCCTGCCTCTGCCTCCTGAGTGCTGGGATTAAAGGCTTGCACCACCAACATCTAGCCAGATTAGTTCTTTTTAACTCTGAAGAGGAAGGGGAAAGTGTGCTCTTGGTGGAAAATAATTCAGTGTTTTCACTCAGCTAAAACAAACAAACAAACAAAACCATTTGACCAACCAAGCAAAGGTGAGGTAAGGACTAAGATTGCCTAAATCCAGGTGAGGTATCTTACCATTTCTATTCATTCATCCTGTTTCTCACTCTGATCTTTCTTTGTTCATTTCCCTCCCTTTTTTCTTTTATTCTTATATCTCTCAAGTTCAAGCCAAAGCATATTATGGATTCTTTGAATATTTAATTTTTTAAACATTTCACATTTAGTAGGATTTATGCTCTTTGTATGAGTGCAAGTTCAAAGAAAACGATTAATTCTCTGTGGGCATCATTTCCCCCCACATATCCCAGGTCTTAAGGAGATTTTTCCATCTTGTAGAAGTGGCAATTTCTCTAATTTTTTTCAGGCAGTAGAGAAATGCTACTCACAAAAATGTGCATTTTCCCACTTTTGAGAGTTTTTTCCCCTATTTATAAATCAATAAGTACTTTAAAAATTTTTAAAAAATGTAATAACCACCCCTTTCTGAATGGTACATTATTTAGTCACATAAGGAGTAATATTTTGCCATTGGTTTTGCTTTTAGTCTTAGTTTGTTGTCTTACTTATAACAAATATTCAAACTTGACTTCCAGACACTTTAAACGTCTCCTTGACTCCAAAATGTTACAGTCCATTTGTGTATTGAAGGAATATTTTTTTTAAGTTCAGGCGCAGGCTCGAGACCAGCCTAGTTTACAATAGCAAGTTCCAGGACAGCCTCCAAAGCCACAGAGAAAACCTGCCTCGAAAAACAAAAACAAACAAACAAAAAAGACAGGTGGACTGGGCATGTTTGAGCTCAAGAAGGGTGCCAGAAGTTCAGCAGTCTCTGAAACCAGGACCACACCGGAAGCCAGAGTCCTTTTGCTGATGAACATCCACTCAGAGGCTAGGGAAGCAAGGTCTCTGGAGCACAGCAGCGGCACCTAGTGGCTGCTACCGAATACCCAAGTTTTGTGTCATCATTGGACAGTATAGTAGCTTTGCTCACAACCTAGGGCTGGTTCATCACCATATTAATGCCATGTTGGAGTTAGTTCAATAGCGTATAAATGCCTGTCTTGTGCTTGATTGTAACTGAGTTACCTGTGACCCGTCCATAACACATCAGTTATTTGTATTTTTTCCTACTTTACTCAGCCATCCCTGGAAAGAAAGTAGACACTGTTCTGGTCTAAAATGTCAAGTCAGAACACCTGAATTCTAATCAACTGTGAAGTTTCTCCAAGTTCCTTATTAAAGTGACTCACAGTGGTAAGTATTTGTTTTAAAAACTTCTCACCCAGGATGTTTTGCATGAGACCATCTTGGAACTGTCATTAAAAAAATTAAGTGTAAAATGAAGAACTGTTTAATCTTGGCAAGACTCTAACTTTCAGAGATGAAAAGCACAGTTTTGGCTTTTATTCATTACTCGATTTAGCCATCATGATAGTTTCTCTCATCTTCGCAACGCACATTTTATTTGATTCTAATGGAGATGAATTTCTCTTCTCAGGAGTGTGCCGTTCACTGGATGAAGCAGGCAGGCAGCTCCTTACCATGTCTTGGCAGGCTACTGAAAGAGAGCTACTACTCTCATGTAGGTCTACGGGAATAGCAAAGCTTTTTTTTTCCTGAAGGAATAAGGAAATGAGTTAACATTTTGCTAGAACAAGGTGCTGTTCTCTAAACAAGTGAACCAACCATGTTCAAGGTTTGGAGAAGTGTGGAGACGTGGTTTTTGTTTCAGAGACACCTCCTCTCCCTTCCCACAACAGGTGGAAGAGATGCTGAGATCCTTGGGGAGCACATGTCTTCAATTTTTCTCTGGTGTGGACTGCTCTATACCCAGGACATTTTGCATCTGAGAGTTCCCTAATCTTTTCATCTGTCTGCTGCCTAACTTTCACTGGCCTTGGAACATGTTTGGAAGCTACAATAAATAATCTGGAGGCATCCCAGCTTCCTGTGTTACCACATAATGTAGGAGGAGGCCCCAATGAAAGGGAAGTCATTCACTCAAAAGAAGTCACAGCCTCCTTTGGACCATGATTAACAAGGCTTGGTGTCAAGAAACAAGACTTGGGCTTGGTGACATTCTTTCATTCCTGCCACAGTCCTAGGCTCCTGCCCGTCAGTTGCAGAATTGGAGTTTGATGGCACCATCTTTCAGGTTCTAAGAGCTCCTTTTCATTCAGAATCTAGATTTGCTCTGAAGGCTAGAACTGAGTGTTAGTGTTCACTGACCGAAAGGACACAACCTAGGGGACATGAACTTAGAGGCATTAAGGTAGAGGTGATTGAATTAAATTCTGATCATTAGCAGATTGTTTATGCACATAAAAGGAAGAAGGAGGAACACAGAGACTCTATAAACATACAAAAAATTGCATCAATTCCAGTGGTTTATGGGTGTCTTAGAGATACATGAACCACACTGGACCATCTCTGGAGCAAACAGTGAACAGACAGAAGCTTGACAGAGGGAAAACTTCATTTTCATGTGTATACAAAAGGAGCCAAACGTATTTCCATATGGGAACTAGTGGGGAGACAGAAAAACACTGCTGTGAGTGAGACAAGCGCCTGCCTTACATTGTGAGCAGACAGTTAACCAGCGATGAGCCAAAACCTAAGCAGCGAGAACCCACTCAGGTGTTCGGTATCCATTTGGCCATGTCACAATGTTTGGTCAAAACCAGATGGGATCACCATTTGAATCAGCAGACTGACTCAGGCACAGTGCAGTTCATTGTGTGGTATGTGTTGTGGGTCTATGGCAACATGGTGACTGATGGGAAGGAGGAGCCTAAGGGAGGCTTCTCCTGTGTCAGACATGGTCTGTATTTGGCTGAAACATTGGTTACTCAGTTGGTGTACTTCTCCAAATTAGTTACATTGTACCCTTAAAGTCTACACATTTCACCACCTGTACAATTTGTGTCAATTTAAAAAGCTCCCAAATTATTTTATTATTTTTCCCAAGATAGACCTTCCCCCACGTAATTTTCTTGGCTATTGGGATGGATGGGAAAATGAAAAATTGATGTAAGTCAACCATAAATATTTTCTCTACAGGTTTCTATAGAGTTCCATAGGATTTGAATGTTCCCTTTGGATATCCTAAAAGTTCCTGGCTGCAGATTTATGGTTGTGGTTTCCATCCTGCAGCCCTTGAGCTGTGACATCAGCATTGGGAGAGAAAGAAAGAGCAGAAAATATGAACCTCAGAGACACCCAAGCCCCCTCCTCAGGGTAAGGGCCTCCACTAATCATTTGCTTCCTTTTGTACTCGCAATACATATGAAAACATACATATATATGCATCTCAGACTATTGCAAGAACAAGATATGCATGAAGCTGGAAATTTAGATTGCCAGGATATTGGTGCCGGGTCGTCAGAAGTTGAGTTGTCTGTGTCTAGTGCTGTTTAAATGGTGACCCATGCTTAGTTTGAAAGTTGGATCCAGTTTTTGCACAAGCTGCCACAGGTCTAACCTCGTGTCTGATGCCCACAGGCACTGTGTATTTACACAAACCCAGCAGCCCAGCAGGGTTCAGCAGCCTGCATTTCACCACCTCCTCAGCAACACAGACAGTCCCCTTAGACTCGGAGACGATTTTCACAGATTTTTTTTTCCATTCGCATGCCTCAAGTTAAATACTGTAAAAAAATTTAAAAAACAGTTTTTCTTCCTTCCTTTTTTTTTTAAATTTACAAGTGCTCATATAAGAAGAAGATGACTAAAAAAATACCCACCCAAGCACCCAGAACGCATCTATCAAACAACGCTAATGTTACACAGGCTGAGACCAAAGACCTCTCTGCTCGGCAGCTCCGTGTTCGCTGGCCTGCAGGGGTTGCAATCCTGTCTGGGAGGAAGGTGATGCCATAGGATCCCCAGTGCCAGAGGCCGGTGCTTCTTTGTTCCCTAACTCAAGTCCAGGAGCCGCGTTTCAGAGTCAATGTCATTACTTATTTCGACCTGAAAAAGAAAATATGAAATTGCTTTAAAGAACTTCAGTGCTGATAAATGAAAAGCCTGTCCCTTTCTCCAGGCCTTTTGAAATGCAAAGCAGTTTAGGGTGGACCGGCTGCAGTCTGTCTGGCTCGCTGAAGGCTCAGCTTGCCTGCTTTCAGATCAGCTAGTAGCAATGGCAATGAGGATGAGGAGGAGGCCTGACAGCCACAAAATTGTGGGATGAAGTGGACTCACTGTCTCAGAGGGGAAGGCAGTACATATCCCCAACTCACTACCCACACCCCCATAACCTCTTCCTAATAGATAGGCATCTTGGTCTGAAACAAATCATGGACCCGGCTCCAGTTTGCCTTGGCCACCGTGCCCAAATATTAGATGGAAAAAAAAAGCCTGGTGGTGTCCTTCAGATGAGATTACCATTAAAGTCAATAGATCAGGTAAATCATATTTTGGCCCGCAGAGTGGGTGAACCTCGTGGGGTCAGTTGAAAGCCTCACCACACGAAGAGTCCTGTTTCCTGAGGATCCAAGCGTTCTCTCTGCGGGCCACTGGCAGCATTAGTTTATTCCTGCTCCTCCGTCTCCCAGCCTCATCCGCAGATTGTGAACTTGCCACACCCATCACCTCACGGGACAGCTTCTCTTAACATCCCAACAGCTCTTGTCTCTCCCCTCCATCTCTGTCCCTCCTCCCTGCTTCACCGCCACTGCCTCCTTCTGCTTCCTCCTCCTCTCTCTCTCCAGCAGCTCCCCTCCAAGCCACTGATGCAAATCTCACTTCTCTGTCAATCCGGAGCACTAAACCCTCCTGTGTTAGTCGTTCTGTTACCCCACTTTGAGCAGGGCGTGCTAATCATCACTTCTCTTGCCGCCTCTGGAATGACAGGATCTGCATGAATCTGATGATTTCCCTTCCAAAATCATCACAGCTATGGTGCCGATGGAGGCTGCTCCACACTAATTTCACATGCCTGCCTAGAAACTTCTCTTCCACTAGCTCACTTCGGTGACTCTGTGGCTGGGAATGGACGTTTCAGTCATAATTTGAAATAGTTATCAAAAAATCTTCAACTTTCTCCTTTTTTTTCCTTCTTTGGTGTCTCTCTTTCCCCAGTAAATAGGGTTCCCCCTGTACGCCCCAGTAGGCCCCTGGTCTTCTGGAGTCATCCTGCAGCATTGACTTTAAGCTTCTGCTTCTCTGGAGTCTGAATGCCAAGCCACTATCTCTGCATTTTAACAGGGATTCCCATGGAGAGATAGACATGCAATTATAGAAATGGAATTTTATATCTCACCCAGTCTTAAGTTAGCAGAAAGAGTGCAGCTTCTAAAGCTTGTTCCTCTGCTGTCTCAGTGCAGTGGAGGAAAGCAGCTACTGCACCTAGTATGTGGGAGCCAAGGATGGCACAGCATTGCCCTGTCACAGTGGAACAAGCCTGACACAAGGGATTAACGGGCCCAGTGACACAGTGCCTAGGCCAGCACTACCTGCCTGACTGTAAGACTTTGTCTACCTACTTGTCTGCTTGTTTTTACCTAGTTTCCATCACCACAGTTCTTAATTATATTTAATATAGATTTCATACCTGTATTTCTCTAATTATCTAGAAATGTTTCATCACAGATTTGTTGAGATGATAATTTACATTATATTTGACTACTGTGTTTCCTCAAGTTATCTTAATTATTAACAATTTCTCATAAGCAGTTTTTTTCTTACTTTATTATATACATCCAGATTTGACTCATTCTACTACAATAGTAGTTCAAGGTCAGGCTTGATTTTACAGGCACCTTGTAGGTGGTGGTATGCATCTCTTACATAGCACATCCAAGAACACAGAATATCTGGTAGTCCAGTTTTTAATATTGTGAATGAACAACAGGTCTATGTATTGATTTTGGATCTTTAGAATCATGTTTCCTCGGCATCACCATCCCTGACTTCAAGCTCTACTATAGAGCTGTAGTCCTGAAAACAGCTTGGTATTTGCACAAAAACAGACAGGTAGACCAATGGAACAGAATCAAAGACCCTGATATCAACCCACACACCTTTGAACACCTGATCTTTGACAAAAAAGCTAAAACTATACAATGGAAAAAAGAAAACATCTTCAACAAATGGTGCTGACATAAATAGATGCTGGCATGTAAAAGACAGCAGATAAGTCCATATCTATCACCATGCATAAAACTTAAGTCCAAATGGATTAAAGACCTCAACATCAATCCAGCCACACTGAACCTCTTAGAAGAAAAAGTGGGAAGTACCCTTGAATGATTGGTACAAGAGACCGTTTCCTGAACATAACATCAGTATCACAGACACTGAGATCGACAATTAATAAACAGGACCTCCTGAAACTGAGAAGCTTCTGCAAGGTAAAGGACACAGTCCACAGACGAAAAGACAGCTCACAGAATGGGAAAAGATATTCACCAACCTCACATCTGACAGAGGGCTGATCTCCAAAATTTACCAAGAACTCAAGAAGCAAGTCTCCAAAACACCAAAGGATCCAATTAAAAAGTGGGGTAAAGAACTAAATAGAGAATTCTCAATAGAGGAGTCTAAAATAGCTGAGAGACACTTGAGAAAGTGTTCAACATCTTTAGCCATCAGGGAAATGCAAATCAAAACAACTCTGAGATACCATCTTACTCCTTTCATGTGTAAAAAGATAAATAAAGGAAAAAAAAAAAAGAAAAACAAATCATGCTTCCTCCCCTCACACCTCCACTTTTAAATAAGTCCAGAAAGTTCAGCAATGGTCTGATGAACCCCGCTCCAGAGAACAAGCAGAAAAGAAGACAAGAGAGTCCAACGCATCGTTGGGCTCATATTTCTGGTAGACTTGCAAGGATTTCTTTTTCTGTTGTTTTCCAGATATCTTGGTGTTACATCTGGTGTGTGTGTGTGTGTGTGTGTGTGTTTGTGTGGTCTGCCTTGCTTCAGTTCTTTCCAATGTCTTTTCTTTTACAGCCTTGAAATAGTATTTTTAATGTGTCTACAAACCCAGATGTTGGAAGCAGAGGAAGATTTTTACAAATTATCTTCTGACCTCCAAATGTCTGCCATGGTACACAAGCAACATACACACAGGTTAAATTACTTTTAATAGATAACTATGTGGCATGAGTGGAACTTTACTCATGACCTAAAGTGCCTTGTAGGTGAATAAAGAGGTTAGAAATGGTTGTGAACAGAAATCTGAATCTGTACAGTAAGGTGTGTCCTTCTATTTGCAGCAGCATGGTAATCCCTTCAGTTGGGTGATTTTGGTGGTTTGAAAGAAAATGCCCCCTCCCCAAAGGGAGAGGCACTATTAGGAGGTCTTGTTGAGAAAGAGTGTCATTGTGGGGGCAGGCTTTGAGGTCTCTTTTCACAAGGTTCACTCAGTGTGACAGTCAGTCAACCTCTTGTTCCTGCAGGATGTAGCACTCACAGCTCCAGCACCACATCTGCCTGCATGCTGCCATGTTCCCTGTCATGATGATAATGGACTGAACCTCTGAAACTGTAAGGGAGCCACCCAAATTAAATGTTTTCTTTATAAAAGTTGCCATGGTCATGGTGTCTCTTCACATCAGTAGGAAGCCCTAACTAAGACAGGTGAGAGCTAGGCTTTACAAATAGGAGCAGAGAATGCTTTTTTTTTTTTTTTACAGTGTCACATGAAAGGTTGATGGCGTCCCCAGGGAGAATAGGATAGTTGACTGACCTTCAGTTGTGTGACCACATTGAACTCTTTTACATCTGCAGTGTTTGTGACATCCTTCCTTTCCAGTGAGGACAGGGGTACATAGCTTATTATAATGATGAAACTGATATATATTCAAACTCAGCATTTCACACAATGGCTACATATTAGCATATGCTCTTACAGTAGTACTAACATAGTGGAATCACATACAATCCATCAAAAAGTCACCAAATGCCAGTGAGTAGCAAAGAGATCCCAAACCAGAGAGATCAAGGAGCTGGGACACAACTGTCATTGTGCTAAGTAAGGCATGCATAAAGGGAATCTTGCAATGGTCCCCAAAGGGCACGATCTCTCAAAATGTCTTCTGTTTTCAAGGGTTAATGGTGGCTCTCTGTGAGTGGGACTCAATGTTCAGCATTGGGAAGGATGAGACAGCCATCACAATGAGCAGATCTCAGTTTGAAGGACCCAGACCCTCACACAGCCCCCTGCCTTGGCAACCATGACAGGATTCAGAAAAGACCCAGCAAGATGTAGACTCAGTGACATATGCTGAGGCCCCAACCTTGCCTGACTTTGCCATAGTCACTAGGAAGCCAGATAATCTCCATGTGGCAAAAAACCAATCAGAAGTTAGCTGGTGGGTTCTGGATGTGCATTACTGATAACAATGGAATGCAGAACATAGCAACTGCCCTGGGAGGGCCTCTAGACACAGTAACCTTCCTGCAGTTGCAGCTGTAACTGACCAATCAACTCAGGACAGGTTGCCCAAGCCCAGAGGTGCACTAATTCTGAAACTGTTGCTATGCAACTAGCGGATCCCCAGAAACTTCCCTTGCTCTACCCCAATATATGCCCTGCCCCACTGCTGCTTGGGGTCCCTCCTACTCCACCCATTGTGTCAGATGGATCGGGACACAGCAATTTAGCTTGTAAAATTAAAGACTCTTTGCTTTTGCATCGATCAGGCCTCTTGGTGATTTTGGGGGTTCAGAGTTTGGTCACAACAAGTTTAGAGTATGCTGTGTGCCTCAGGGGCTAGAGCAAGCAGATTCTACATAGCTCAACAAACTCTCTTGGTAAAATAGTAAACTGTGATAGCCCATCAGGAACAAGTGCAGACAACAAAAGATAGTCATCATTTATTCATCCTTAGTCTATTATAGCCACTTCTGTGCAAGCTACTCACTGAAAGTTCTTCTTTTATTATATTTTTCCTTAAAACCATTTTAAATTTAAAATGCATTATGATCATATCCTTTCCCAAGTCCTTCTCTCCTTATCCACCCAA